AGAGTGACGCAACGGACTTCTCGGCAGTACGAATAATTTTCACCGTCGCATTATAGCGCCAAGTGACCACAAAGTGTTTAAGCAAACAGTAGCCACTCCAAGGTACATTTTGATACCTACTCTGTGGTGTTTTGTTCTTTCATCTTGCCAGGTAAACTCCTGACCTCTTGACATCAAGCTAATTTGTTCTACTGAAAGAAATGTATCATCATCATCATCATCATCATCATCTAGTGCCAGATCTGCGACAGACATCAGCGATTATGGTTCTCCATTCATTCCTTTGCTCGTATGCTCTCAAAAAAGCTACGTTTCCCTGATCTTTCCAAAACAAGAAATGTATACATAATTAAAATGCAAAATCCAAGAGCATATATTATTATATACACCAAAATCACACAATTAAAAAACCAAACTCGTTTTACACAGAGAACCTTTAAATACTTTAATACATATCCAGTCTTGGAGACAATTTCCAAACACCCAGTGGCACAAGAAAGTCTTGTTTTTTTAAACCAAAACAATCATATGTATTGTATATATTATATATAAAGTGCTGCAAGAAAGGTGCATCGCAAATCTTGCATATTCTCTTAATAACAAGACTTTTAAAGTCTAAAGTCCATTCTCATCTATGACCTATGTTTCATCCTTCATGATATTTTTCTTCTTTTAATTCAATCTGTTCTACGTAATAAAAAAAAAAGAACATGTCCAACCAATCTTTTGCATACTCCTCAATGTGAACCGACATGAGGTAGACATAGGTGTGGTGAGTGGTGATAATTTTCTGTCAATAATTGGCGGAAATCTGCTTTTTTCCTTCTGCCAGAAATTTTCCTCTTTTTTGAAACATTTACTCCGCTTTTCTGTGATTCCGACCCAGCAGAAAAATCTCATGAGCTTCTGTCGACAACAGATGGTAGCCCAAACCAACCCGTTGAAACTCTGCCCGATGCGATAGAATAATTCTATGAGACACTGGGCCAGGAACTAAACCTTCTGAATACGAAACTTTACATTAACAATACCCGGGCCGGATGTTTTGCATTGAGCGGGATTTGGCCTGATTCTTTCATTAATCCATTCCATTCTCATGCTTTACGACTGTTCAGATTTCTGAGACGACCATTCGCGTTGTATTCTGTTTATTAAGTTTAAACCATCGTTTTATTCATCTTGGCTCCAAATGTAATTAAATTCTATCAAAATATTCAAAATGAAGGAATAGTCAAAAAAGCAGAAAGTGTTTGTGTGAAGGAAGTTAACAAAAAGACAAAAAAACAAATTTTGTTAGATCAAAAGGTTGTGTTGAAGACAAAGAAAGGAGAGACTAGCATTTCATTTGGTGATTCAGTTGTGAAAGTGGATATACCAGGAAAAGCACTGTGCAAGTATTGAGATCACTTGATAAACTACTATGCCAGCTGAGGTAAGGACGCAATCTTGATGCCCCTGAAATCTAGTAAACAGGTTAGTGAGGTCGACAATTGACAAAGCAATTACACTCTTGGTGCTGACTTTGGTAAAGCCACAAAACCAGCATTGTTTCCCCTTTTCAGTAAAATTAAAAAGAAAAAGGAGTCTGATCCTTTTAGATCAATCTGCATTTGCTACATCCAACAGCTCGACCACCAGCCCTGCCCCTCTTCCATCCCCCGTACATGAACAAAAACGAGCCGTACCATTGAGTGATAGGACCACCAACCTTGAGGCCATGATTGTTTCATTTATGGCGGAACAAAACACTTCCTTTGCCTTTAATGTGGTGTCTAAGCTTGTGGATCTTATTAAAGAATTTGCTTCCGACCCGAAGGCTCTAGGCCATATTAGACAAGATCGGTGTAGTGCAGTATACAAGTTGAAATATGGTGTGAGTGACTTTTTTAAAGATAGTTTAGTGAAAAACTTAGGGCATTGTCCCTTTTCTATGAACATTGACGAAGCCACTGCTGCGAACAACAATCGCAAGGTAGGCCTACTTTCTGTGCTTGTCAGCTATGTCAGCTCAGTGAAACAGGAGATCATAACAACATTTTGACTCAGTTGAACTTATTAGGTGTGATGCTCTTAGTATTTTTGAGGCTGTTAAGGAATTGATTGATGTGAACTCCATTCCATGGACAAATCTACAATCCTGCTTGATGGACTCGTGTTAGATCAAGAGTGGATCTAAATCAGGATTTGAGACAAGGCTGCGGGAGAATGCCCCTCATCTCCTAGATATTGACGGCGACTCATACCATCATGTCCACAAAGCTTGCAAAAAATTTTGTGAGCCATTCAACTTCAGGGATAAGCTCCTTTTCATTGACCTCCATTCTGACTTTCTTCAGTATTCCTCTTAGTCAAAAGCTTTAATGTCAGAGCTCTGTTCTATTTTCTGAATTAAGTTCATCGTGCCCAGCCGTTTTATTTCTCACCACTGGCTTTCTGCATATCACTTGGCTATTCTCATGCTAAGGCTGTATGATACGTTAAGGCTGTATTATTCAGCAACTGTGACAGACGTTTAGATCAAACGCGACATACATATATTTACAACAACCAGATTAGCCAATCCTAAAGCTAAGAGCAGGACTTACGACAGTCTTCATCTTTTGAGAGAAAAGGCAAAGACCATGACAAAAGACGGCAAGGCCAGAAGGGAGAGGATCAAAGAAAGACTCTTTGAAAGAAACAACTGGAACTTGATGGTAATGAGTTTTTATGCTTCAGTCGTACCCATCATGAAGGATTATGTCTTAAAGTTTCAAAGCCAGGAACCACTGATTCACCTTATCTTCAAGACCACCAAGTGTCAGTGACAAAAACATTCTTGGCATGCTTTATGAAAGCTGAGAAGACAAACATTTCCCCTAAGAAACAGGCATCTATCGATGTAGATTGGGTGGAGAATCACCTTGACCTTGAGTACTGCATAGTAGGCAAAAGAGAAAACAGATTGTCTCATTCTCGTCAACAAATCCTACAGTCTTTCTGCCAAGCACCTTCAGAAGGCATTTCCCCTCACTACTTCCCTGATACAGAACCTCTCTGTTGTCACCAAGGGCCTCATGCAACTAACTGAAAAGTTTGACCATTACTTAACACCAGAGGATCAGGAGAAAATTTTAATAGAGATAAAAGACTTTACCATAGCTGGGAAACATTTATCTGGACAGAGGGTTGATGTGTGGTGGGCAAGTCAAGAAAAATTCCCTGTCCTTCGAAAGCTGGCCAAAACCTCTCTCACTATTTTTCATGGGCCACTGGTAGAATCCTCATTTTCTTACATTACATGAAGGATGTAGTAATGAAAAACAAATCTGCAAGTCTGGATGTGGCAATAATTTCTTCAGTTCTAACTGTGAAGTATGCCTTGAAAGCAAGAATACATCAGCAGTAGCCTGCTTCAAGAGGAGGGACAAACTGTATCAACCTATTGATTGCAGTTTGATAAGATCAGTCAGGTTAGCTCCAGTCAAATACAAAAAACAATAAGAGCTGGCAAAACAAAAGGCCATTCAAGCAAAAATGGACCTGGATTTTAGGATCCAGAAAATGCAAACAAAATGTAGCACCAAGCATCTCAGAGAAAAGGCTGTGAGGAAAGCACTTTGAAGGCAGCCAAGCAGCCCAGCTCTAAAGCTAAACCCAAGTCCATCCAGCACAAGAGGCCACCCCAGCCTCCCAGCAAGAAGCAGAAGCTTTGTTGAAGCAGCTTCCCCAACCAGTATCCCTTCCTGTATACCCTCCTACAGTTCCTCATAGGTAAGACCAAAGTTATATTCGGGGGGGGGGGGTGGTGGTTTGGTTCATGTTTGTGGGGTGACGAGGATTTTCCTCTTTTTAGACCATTTTCTATTATCACCACTGGGTAGATATTGTCCAAAAACTCAAGCCATTTCAACCCGATTATGCCACTTGTAAAGTGAATTCACCGATGGCTTGGAGATGGCAAACTTTGTTACTTTATTTTTACTCTAACTTGTGTCGATTATCTGTAGTAAGCTTGTTCTTCAGCTATTAAAGAAAACTGAAAATTTCTCAGTTGGTGGCCGTATTTTCATAATTCAAGCTGAATTCGAGCTATAAGTGTGTCTCATGAAAGTGTAGCGTTACAACAAATCATTCACCGGCACATGATACTTGCTCACGCTTCGTTTTGGGTTCAGTTCATACTTAACTGCAATAAATGTTCGATTTATTTTAGTGTTATTTGCTTGCTGGTATAGCGCCCTTCAGGTTAGGCCTACGCCATGTAATGTAAGATGATAAATCTGTGTGATGTGTGTAGGTATGTAATAAACGACTTTAACCTATATCACAGCCTGTCTGGAGATCTTACAACTTTACAAAAGCATACTGGTAGGCCCTACATGTTAAATCTAACAATCTAACCAAATTTTCTTTAGCTCAAGTTGATGCAGCCCACCACGTTAAAGTATTAAAAAAGTGTCAGAATACATACTAGTAGGCAAGGTCGCAACATGGACCGGCTAAAACTGAGAGGGAGTGACCTAATTAGAAATAAGAAAATTTTTTGTGTTAGGAAACCAGGCAGGGAAGACTAAGAGGTTGCACAGTGCAAAGCAAGGTTACAGGTACCAGATTTCCAAGCATTCCTGATCAGTATTGTGATAAAGAGAGCATGATGATCCCTCAGACGGACTCTCCCTCATCCACACTGATCTTGAGGATGCAAGATTTGACGTCAAGAGTTGTATCCTCAGTCCACCAAACATGGCCACCAACAGAAATCAAAGAACGCCAATTTTAAATGTAGTCACAATAAAATCAATGCGACAGAAGCCCAAAACGCAGAAGAAAAATTAAAAGTAAGACTATTTTGTAAATCAATGCGACAGAAGCCCAAAACGCAGAAGAAAAAATAAAAGTAAGACTATTTTGTATTCTTCTAAAACCCCCCCAAAAAGATACCGAAAGAAAAGAGGCCCAGTTTCCCATCTGAATTTATGGTTCAGCCATCGGCTTCTTTAAACTGAATTTTAACCAAATTTTTTTTTCTTAAAACAACACTTACCAAAAAAACCCACAAAAAACTCTGAATCAAAGGGACTGGTCAAATGGTAGATCCAGTAGGGACCAAAACTGATGGACATGTTATAATGCACTACCCAAGCTTTTAAGAGCTTAGTATTAGTGCGTCAATCAACAGGTAATTTAAGAGAAGCAATGATTAAAAACACACTCCTCCTACTGCCTCTACTTAAAACTGTCCAAAAACTCAGTCACTTTCAGCGCAGCTTCCTCTTCCTCCTGCTGTTTCAGCTGCTGTTGCTGTTGTTCCTCTGTATACAGCATTGGACCTCCACTTATCTGATTCTTGTCCCTGCTGAGAGCAACAGTGTCTTCGTACTGATCAGAAACAGCTTGTCGTGCAGCTGTGAAACTTCCAAAAGTATACGGGACAGCAGACACCGACTGGTCAGTTGCGGTCATTTCATCATTAGACTCATTCTCATTCTGGACAAATCTTGTGTCGACAAAGAATGATTTCGGTACTTTAGATTTCTTCACTTCTGAAGTTGTCGGAGGTTGCTCTTGCGCATGGGGTCTTTTTAGTGATTCAGCAAAGTAGCTTGAAGGATCAGAGTTCTGTGGAACTGTCTCTTCTGTAGATGCAGTGTGTTGCTGTGATGCAATAGGAGCATTACAAGGGTATGAAGGATAATTTGAAAAGTGTGGAGTCTGACTTGGGTATTGAGGGGCATACCCACCGCCAGCTGTTTGTTGTGAAATACCAGTAACATTACTTGCAGAGGCAGATGTGATGTCTGGATATGCATATGTCGGATAAGCCGCTTGGTTTGGATAAAGAGGGGCATGTCCAGAGCTGGAGTCTTGTGTGGTAGCATGAGCACTGAAGGAGTTTGATGGGAATCCTTGGTAAGTAGATACTGCATTGACTTCTGCATTTGGGTTCTGAGAGTGTGAGTACGTTTGGTACAAAAGGGAAGGTGTCTCGGCTGCTCCATGTACGTAAGGGAAAGCAGAGTTTGCATCAGAGGAGGGATACACTCCAGGCAAGTGTTGAGGAAGTCCACTCGGAAACTGAGACTGAGAATAGCTCGAAGTCTGATCGAGTGGTGGGCTGGAGGGACCTGGTTGGGGAGAGGGATGAACACTCGAGGTCTGAGAGTTGCTACTTTGTGAAAGTTCTAATGCCCGTGTGAGGTGATTGGAAGATGTGTTCAGGTCGACCTGCCGTGGTTTTGTGACTGAAGAACTACCGCCATCCCCTTTGGTGATGGCCGCACTACAAGTTTTCTTTTGAGACGGCGGTAGTGGGATAGAGTCCAAATTATCAGTGACGGGTATTTCTTTCACCGGAGGTTGAACACTACCAATAGTTGCATTCGCAGAAGAAAGTAGTCCCCCTCTTGACTTGCTGGGAGGTGCGGTATCTCGACCATAGGAAGCTGGAGGGGCAAAATTTGAATTCACACCAGTCATTGATTTCTGCAGGCGTCTTGCTCTCATCTGATCAATGGGATTTGACTGGCTGCGTCCCTGTGCCGATTTCTGGCGACCAGAATCTGCAAAATATGCTGAAGGGGGAGCAAACTCAGCCTCTCGTTCATCTCTGCGCCCTTCCACATAATTTTTGTGACCCCAATTTGACGGATCTGAAAAATAGAAAAGGGTAAAATAACAACAGTAAGATAGAATGACCAAATCAAAGCCAGGATAATGGAACAAAGATTACTGCTTTTCCTTTTTCTTTCTCTATTTTGACAAGAAGATCACATTAAACAATAACAATACACAGTGGGCAAAGTCACTGACAATAATAAAATATTCCGTACACTTTGGTTTTGCTTAAATACATGAGACAGGGTGAAGAAATCAGGTGCTCGTCAAAACAATGAAAATGAAGAAACTAGCATTTTTCCACAGCTTTGGGAATTTTTTCAAATTTTTGTATTTTGGTTCAACATCTTCTACGTTCACTAAAGAACACATTTATGTATGGATTTTATGGAAAAACATTGATTAAACGAAAAAAAAAAAAGCAAATTTTCAGTTTCCATGGACTCTCAAGCAAAGGAAATAACTAAACTTTGGAGGCCATTTTCTAGCAAATTTTACCTCTAAAACCAGGAGACCTACACCCACCTCCTTCAATTGCTAATGTCTCAACTTGTATCCAAGATAAGATAAATGGATATTTTTTTCATCGAAAGCAAGACAAATGAACAAGCTTTTAGGTGATACCAATAACTCCACATGCCCAAAAATTGACAAGCGCCTGATTCCAACGTGTCGGGACACAAACAGTCATACATGCACCAGAGCTCAGAACAATCCAACAAGTTAAGGTTCTAAATGAGTAGGGGAACACACACACACATATATGTGTGAAAGATTGTTGTTTTTTTTTCTTTTAACAATCTGGTACAATGTATAGTCAGTTTGGTAGGAATCAAATTTGAATTTTGCTAAGGTGGAGAAAGTGGAGACGAAAGCAGACCATAGAACATGGTTAGAGAGCAGGAAAAGAGGTGATAGGAGAAAATTTTAGAGAACAAAATGTTCCATCACTGTCAGGATTCGAACTCGGGACCTATTGAATGAGAGGCAAACACTGTAATCTCTAAACCACGAGAGCGCCCTTCCAATAGTTTAAAATAAGAGTAATGTGTAGGGTGTGAAGTACGAGTCTTATTACATTGCTCTACAAAAGCTATCTCAATAAATGTAATACAGGGGAATCCTGTTATAATGAGAGGGAGGGGACCGGTGCAAAATGTCCGTTATAGAAGGACTCTCGCTATAAGAGATCCAGTAATAAATTCAAGGGAAACTGTAAAGTAGTCCAAAGCTATGAGTTTGGTGTTCTGTTTATTTCTTTTTGCTACCTCCCCTGAAGATGATTTTGTTTCAACATGACCTCTAGGTCTTACCTGATCAAACTTCGAATCAGGTTTCTTTCTCTAGGGCTAGCGGTACTGACTGACAGCTCGGGGTTGGCGATCAGAAAGACAGGGCTCTGGGCTAACTCGCCCGCTGTGTTTTCCCCCACCCCACTACACCCTGTGGTGCATTCTGTCCCCTTGAACATGTCACACATTCGCTCCATCCATCACATTTCTGTGACCTCTCCATCCCCGCATCGGAGAAGTGAGAGGCATGGCAGGCCTTGATAATCTAAACTAGGCTTGTGCTGGCTTATCACGCAATGCATTCTGCTTGTCTGCGTATGCCACACCCTCCTCACTCAGTCGCTCTGGCCTTCATTGTTGACACACATGGGCCCTCCCATTCTTTGTTTCGCTAGACCACCAACAAGTTTCTCAACTGGCGAGGTTTTACATTATGTATAATTGGCCTATGCACTGTGCACAGCAGCAGCAATAATCCGCTATAACCGACTCGCATGTTTGTCTGATTGCGCTATAGCAGTATTTTATTTACAAAGGTAAAGAAGAGAAAAAAACGGGGTTTTAGAATTGTGTCTTTATAACAGACTTCTCGTTGTTTCCGGACTCGTTATAAGTGGACTCCACTGTCGTGGACCCCAGTGCTGTAGTGGTCAGAGAACAAAGGCAAAGCAATGTCGAGAGAGAGACATAAACCACCAATATTGGGGATGCGTCCTTGACAAGACTACAACAAGATAGATCTCACAGCTCAAAACAAAATGCTGCACAACCACTAGTGTTCACTTAGAACTGTCAATATACCATATGCTGTTATGGCCAATTTACACATCATAGTAAGCTAGTTTTCCCAAAGGATGAACAATAGAGATCTGTTACTAAAGACCCACCATTTTGCTTTCCTTTGTCCCAGTCTCGCACGTGCATCTTTCTTTTTTCTGCTGCTTCTGCTTCATTAACTGCCATCTTTTCTGTATTTTTGGCTTCGTTAGACTCCCCTTCACTCACAGGATGAGAACCTGGTTGCTCTGATGGCCCATCAACAGTCTCCTCATTTTTGGTTTCTGAAATCCAACAATCAACAGACAATATTATCAAAACTGTGGTGTTCTTAAAGACAAAAAAAGAAAGGTGTTGTCTTCTATTTTCTATCGCACTGACCCCTAAGTAGATCTTTTGGCATATCTGCCTAGACGGCCGAGAAGACAAAAAAAGTGCAGTAGATTGTGACAAAAAAAAAACAGGACACAACAAAATTTAAAGTCTTCTTTCAGTGAATTCTCTGCTCTTTACAACAGAATCTTCATAGTCTGCACTACCTGTATTAGAAAAAAAAATAAAAATTCTCTTGACATGGACCAAACATTCAAATTTAAACCTAAGGAGATAAGCTCATGTATGTCAGGGCTGCCTACCTCAAAGTTTCCATTTCAGGTAAATTCAGGGTCACTTTCAGGTATTTTGGCCCAAAATCAGGTAGTACATAGACAAAGAAGGTAAAAAAAGGATGATAGTTGCCCCAGTACACATAGTAACCATCAAACGGGGCTTGCTTTTCGTGATATGTGGACAATTATATTTTGAAAACTTGATGAAATGAGGCGAAATTTGGGGATTTTTTGTTATCGTTCAAGACACCCATTATTCAGTAATGAATGTGGTATTGAGTGCAGGGTGACTGCCAAAGTGACTTCAAAACTCAAAGTCCATACCAATAGAAACTATATTAAAAAACATATTTTCCGACATTAGCATAGGACACTGACAAGTCCTACGTGACTTAGGTATGACAGACAATTTTAACTAGCTTTGGTCTAAAAATACAAAATGAATCCTGATCTGAGCCTGTGTCGAGGCCAGAACATCAACTGCCAAAACCATGATTGAGTTTCAGCAATCACGGATTTTAAAAAGCATGCAAGACAAAACTTATTTAAAGAAAACTGTTATAGTTCGGCTCACGGCAGAGCAAAAAGTGACATTAGAAGAGAACATGAACTGAGACCTGGAGCTGGAAGGACTGTGAGAGAGTGGGGGGAAGTGATGGACAAAGTATTGCTTTTTATTTTTCAAAATGCTAAATCACAGAACCACTGTTAATTAGTAACAAGCCATCATGATGCAGGGCATCCAACATAGGGGCGCTATGCCACACAGCGCACTCTAATCATAAATATTAGTTTCCAGATCTTATCCTATAGTAAGCTCAAACTCAAATACATTTTTTTTAAATGTTTTTCTTTTTTTCCTCAAGCATACCCCCTCCTCCCGCAAGGTTAAGTGGGGGGGGTCGCAGGGGAAGCTCTGAAAGAAATTGAAATTTAGAGCTTTCCGAGGGTTGAAAATGGCATAAGCATTTCTTCATTGCCACTATTCAATTTGTCATTGCGTCATTGACAAATCTGGCAAATCCGGGAACATCAACCTTGAAGATACAATCACCAAGCCAGTACTCTAATGTTCCCTCATTTATGCACTCGATTGTCAAATGTCAAAACCTAAGAGTACCGCTTTCACTTAGGCCTATCTTTTTTATTTTAGCATCAGTTTTTTCGCACCGCAGCCTTCTCCAGCTGCTATAGACTCGTTTGCGTCAAGCAACTCCCCCCCCCCCCATCAACCCAATTCTTAAGCCCTGCAACGCTCCTATTTTGAATCAACTTTGATGACACCAACAACCGCCAGTCCCTTACTCATGCCGTACTCACATGATGCGAACGCACGCAGGTTCACTGACCGGTCACGATGACAGGCCCGACAGTCTAGAAATCGGAGGACGCTTGTTTTCTTTTTCTTTTCATTAGACAGCATAGTGAGAATATTGATTTTATTTGTATGGCGACACTGTGTTTCTAATGCACAAACTGCATGTCATAACTGTAGACCTAACGTTAACAAACTATCATCCAAAGAATTTTAAAATAGCACATCATCTGATAATTCTGGACTTTGATTTTCCCCATAGAGTCTCAGCACACCTAAACTTGCGCCTGCCGCCATAGCCGCTTATTGACGTGAAACATACTCTCGGGCCAAAATATGACCTCAGTGGCCTTTTCGGATTTGGTTTCAAGGACATTGTGCATTTTCCCAGTGGAATTTACAGATTTCCTCAAAGTCCAGCGGCATTCCCGGGTCCCGGGGATTTTTTCATCCTTGTATCGGTTCTGTCTAATTTTCTAGACCAACACAGATATGAGAAAATTTCGCTCTGATATTGATTTTTTTTCTACATTCACAATTCAATTTTCTAGATAAATGCACAGATTTTCCAGCTGCAGCAAAAACCCAAAGATAGACAAAAAGAATGAATGAATGAAAGGAAGGAGGAAGATTATCTATTGTGAGTAGCCAGATTTTAACCGATTTGCATGTTAAAAACTATTGCCGACCATACAACAGAGAGACAATGGTCGAGAGTACGAAATGCACAATCTGGCAGTTACTAATACAACTTATTGCAGAGAGTTACCGTAAATATCTGAGAAGTTACGGGGGCAAGTCCGGATCATTTGCTTCGGAATGCCGATAAGCTAATACTAATACTGTCTCTGTCTCTCTCTCTCTCTCTTTTAGGTATAGAGTTGATATGATGGTGCAGCACGTATGGAACTTTCGCAATGTACGGATTTCCGCAAAAACTGGGAAGATTGGAAACACTGTTGAACGGGTTTCTTTTCTTCTACTTGCGGCACCCATCGCAAACCCGGTAATTTTGACCCCTTTATCGGTATGGCGATAGAACGGGCCCAAAATCAGCAACTACCAGTAAAATCGGTAGATTTAGGCAGCCTTGGGTATGTACAAAATTGTGTCACATCTCTGTTCTCTGCTTTTCTCAGAATATACAATACACCATCCAACATTAAACACAGATTTTGGACATGAATAAGGAAATTCATGATTGAGTAACTACTGTTCACCTTCTCCTGAAGTCCCTGGCTTAAGTTTGCGCCTCTGTCTCACTTTGGCCAGCCTCGCCTCCATCATGGCCTTCCGCTTGTCCTTGACTTTCTCTTGACGGGAGCGCTCTCCCATTGTCTGGTAAGAAAATATTTGATCATAAATAATGCAGACACCACTGCAGTACAAACCTCACAGACATTTTATCACAAGTGCTGAAGAAATGACACGCCTACACACATTGGAAAAGCAACAGTAGTCTCCGCCTAATCACATGCCCTATAAAGGCATCCTCTATCAAAACACACACTTTCGTCGTATGGTAGGTATTTTTCATCTATAATTCAGATGTACAAATGTAAGCTCACTTCTGAAACCATGTACAGGATCCAGAAAATACACTGGCAGGTAGAGCTTGAAAAGTGGAAATTTTCACAACTCAGAGAACTTGCATCATAATAACAAAGGCAAGTCAAGACAACTGGATATTTGGCAAGACTGCTCCTCGCATAGCACAAGGAAAGTAATGGACATTGTTTTCATACCCTACTGTCCACAAACACATACCTACAAGAGTGATATGTTTGGGTGACTGACATGTCTTTTGATAGGTGGTCACTCAAAATATGCCTTTGAGGGATGGGCTCTAAAACTGGTCACAGGAAATGTTTAGATCTATGAATGATGTGCAACACACATGAATGCTGTAGAGCACTATAAAGGCCTAGAATTTACAATTAAGTCAAGTGATCAGTTGCGCTCGAAGAACTTATAAAGTACTTGTTCAACATATCAATAGATAAAAGTCTGTCAAAATGTCTGATGTCATCCAAGCATTTGCTGAGTTGCAATTTTTTAAAAATACAATTAGTCAGGAGTGGTCGCTTAGGACTGAACACCAACAATTTCATCTTATCTTTCCCATCATGTCTGTGCACATAAGTTTAGAGAGTCGCTATCGCTACTTTTTTCCCCCATTACTAACTTCAATACCGTTATAAACGTAACTGTGATTGAGGAATCCTTTACAAAACAGTCTTGTTTCTCTGGTGTTGTATACGCCGCACATATTACCACGTGGGTACTCCTTGAGGAGAGGCTGGGTCAGCAGCTTTGGGTCCATATAACATTACCCCCTCCCCACGAGTTAACAATGATCACTATAATTTCAAGGAAATGAGATCGTTGCATCCCCCAATCCTTCTTTCACCTTTGCACAGGGTCACACAAACAAAAGTTCACAACAATGAGGGGTCCTCCTGAGCACCTTGCATTTAGGTAGAGACTACAGTACACAATCCCTAGATAAATTTTTCCTTGCCACATTTTTTATCGCATGATTTAAAATAATAATAATAAAAAAGACAAATTCCCCAAATTTTCACCCTGAACAGAACGAAAACACAATTCATTTTTAGAAAAGTAGATGGTATAAACACGGCCTAGCGGGCACCTGCGGCCTTCCGTGTGTGTGGTATCGGTGAAATCGGGGTAATTCAGATCAGTGTTTCTTTCCTCTTTCACTATAAAACACCAAATACTGTACACCTTGTAAAAGTTCCGCTTTTCCTCGTTACAATGGTGCAAGTTGTTTATGTGTCCGATCATTAAGAGCTGGAGAATCCCTGAGGAAAGCAAAGCCCCTCACCGTCAGAATGATTGATCGGCCGTTTCAAAAATTGACACGCGAGCATTCAAATGCTTCGCGGAAAGATTGATGATTAAATACTCAGAACTGTAGAGCTTTGAAAGGGCTTTCCCGTGGTATATTTTTGGCCTTTGGTATCTGAATAGAAAGCCTTTAAAAATACCGTCAAAGTTTTCAAAGACCATTTTTTACTCTAAATAGGTAAAATACCTGCTCAAAAAAAGGTACCAATAGAAAGAACAGCCATTTTCTATTAAAATAAATAATCGGCTTGGAATTATTTTGCATCAATCCTTCCGTGAAGCTCAGAAAGCAAGTGACCCCCCACAGGGGGAGCACTCTGTACACTACAAAATAGAGCCGACATGCTCGCCGCGGGCGCTGGTGCGGCGCTGGCCGGGTCAGCGCTCAGTGTTTTTGTCGAAATAACGACAAATCATCGTGTTTGAGGCGATTAAATACTGATTTGCAATTATTTCAGTCTTGAAAAAAAATTAGGCTCCATATCTATGTTATAGTGATTGTGCTCTATCTGTTATGTTAATGTGGAGATGGTCGGTGCACTTGGTACTCTTTTATTATCTGTCAAACATGGGGTTGCAGCCAGTTAGCGACTTAAGCAAATTTGATATTTAAAACACCAACCACTTTCTTAAAAATTAAGGTTAAAGAATGGTATCAAAATTTTCAAGAGACACAGGCCTTTCTTATTGAACAGATAAATTTGGCAAACAGTTACTCTGAAAATTTAGTTTCTGGTATCTAATTAAAGTAGACCAAAAAAAATGGCATTGCAACTGCAACATAGACTGTCCGTGCTGTTCTGATACTTGCCCATTACTCTGCTTTCTTCTTTCACAAACATTTCTTAGAAGTACATTTTTATTTTCTAAAAGTAATCAGTTCAAGGTAAGAGTGTATGACATTCACACCAGTGACAAGCCATCCACAATGGTACTATTGGTCACACATTTGCCCTGCAGGCATATGTAGCGGGTTCAAACCCAAGGACCATCCAAATTATCCTTCTTGAAATGTTTCTCCACTCAGTCCAGGGCCTAGACAACTTGTTTTTTCAAATATCCAGAAAAAGCAGGGAGTATTCCTCCACATCACATAATTGCACACATGACAACCAATTCAAAATGCAATCGTACCAGCTCTAACAACCACCTGTATAAGTCAATCTCCTATACAAATGACCGCGCGCTCATATGACCTTAGCAGTTGCGAGCGCCGTAAAACCTTATACTATACATACATACAAATGACCACTTCCCCCTTGCCATTTTTGTTCTTATTTACATTATAATGACAAAGAGGTAAGACAGCCAACTCTCCTAGACGGAGACTTTACTTCTCGACAATGGGCAGCTGTCTTAGACAATTTCCACAGCACTTCACTTTCCAAGTGACCAGTCAAACCACTCTCTTATTAACAAGAACAAACCTCTTCTCTCATTTTCTTCAGATTCTCCAGCTGTTCCTCTCGAATCTCATGGTCCTTAGAGAACTGGTAAAATCCAACACCGTGGTTTCTGATTTCTGTGGATACGGAAAATAAATACAGGGAAACAGTCAAACACGAGTAACTCGAATTCGTCGGGGATTGGAAATAGTGTTCGAGATTTTCGTAATCCATCATGTCCTTAAAAGCTCCAAAAATAAAGAAATAGAGAGAAAATCAAGGGAGGTAAAATAGAACTTTAAAACAAATAATTTATTAATGTGGTTCGATCCCTTGATGAACGTGTTGGCGGTGTGAAAGCAAGAAGATGAATGAAAGTGAAAAGCACAAAATCTCACCTGTGCACAGCCGAATCCTACATCATTCCTTTCCTCTCATTTTATTTGCTTACAGAAAGTTACTCCTCTTGCCATCCGCACCATGCGTGTCCCACACCATGATAGCACATGTGGTGAGTCAGTCAAGCAGTGCGGTCAGCATCACACCCCAACCCCCCCTTCCTCCAGCCTCTCGTGGTGAAACAAGGACCACGTTTTGGCTGTAACATTAACAAAGAAACGTCTTCCCTTCCTGCCACTACCAATGATATATTGTTATTGGATTTCTACATCCTCGAAGAGTAACTCTCAAAGTATCTTCCACCAGCTCTACAAGCATGCCAGATTTTTTAGTACATTGTGCTTATCTTGAAAGCCCAGAAACTTATCCGCACACCCTGGGAACAGGAATGTAAAAAAAAAAAGAATTTTAAAAAAAATTAAAAATAAATCATTCACTAACCATGATAGCAAAAACTGAAAATCAAACCAGGTATTTTGGCATGATAGGCTACTTTATCTTAATAATAATAACAATAGATAGCATTTGCATAGTGCAAGTCCCCGCTCAACAACAAGCTCTATGCGCTTCAAAATCTATACTATTACCCTATCAGACCTGAGAGCATTCTGAAACAACCTCAACTTCCTGGGAGCATACAGTGCAAGCAGCCATTTATAGGCGCTAAAACACTAGCATACTGACAAGATCTTTCGGTCTATGGCCGGGTACCCATTTCCACCTTGGTGAAGTGAGGAAAATTCGTGTAAAGTGCCTTTCCCAAGGACACAACATTGGGCCCGCAGCTCAAACCCCGACCCCGCAACCTCACGATTACGAGTCTGGTAGCCTAACCACAAGGCCACGGACGCCACAATAAAAAACTCTCTGAAAGATCAGCAATTCTCCACTTGAGAAAAACCCACTCACCATCAAAGCGGACATTAGAGTAGTGAGTCTGCCCATGTTCTTGTCCCATCAAGGTCTCCGTTTCTTCCTCCCACTTGAGTCGCATTTTCTCTTTGTGCATGTCCTCTGACATGAGGGTGGCACCCTCTGCTATTGCTGACGAGTCAGGGGCACTGGTCAGTGTTGACTTTCCTGCCTGGCCTCTGATATCGAAAAGCAATATAATTTCCTCATTAGAGTAAAACAAAGCTGTAGGAAACTTACACTGATGGAACAGTTGTCTGAAAACGTATCTACAGTCAACATTTGTTACAACTGCAAAAAGGTAAGGGCAGTTGCATTTTTCTGGGGAGTGATGCCTTTTCATATTTTTCAAGTACATTTCAAACATGCACATATTTCATATATATGAAGAAAAATACACGTAAAGAGTTGCTGAAGTAAGGCATTTAAAATGACAAAAAATCAGCCTCACAAATTCTGAGGTTCACTTGGTAAGAAGAGTAAAAGAATAAGAAACAAGACTGTTTTCTTTTCAAGGCGAGCTTCATGCACTGTGCAACGCTAGGTGACACATATTCATCTAGGAAACCAAAGCCGATAAAAGCCCCCAAAAGAACAAATTGAAGGAACATTTATCTCTCTTCATTCAAAAACAAGAAAATCATGTTGTTCAAAAGGAAAATTACTCATTCTATTCTCTATAGTAATTTTTTCCTAAATTAAAGTCGACAAGCTTGGATGTAAGCCAAAGATATTTAAAAATCAGGACCTACAAATCAATTTCCAATCTAAATTAGAGAAGGCAATCAAGATTAAAATCTCCTTGCAAAAAGTCAAGGACAAGAGGAAAAGAAAGTTGTTATTGATCATGTCAGCCAAAAGACATACTTTACTGAATCAAAAACTACTTAATAAAATTGATCTCATACAATATTCTTACAACAAAAGCCCGGAGGCACAGAAAAAAGGTAATACTTACACTTTGCACACTATGAAACAAAAAAAATTCTTAAAGCAGTATGATATGGTTCTGCAATGAACACTAGAATTGAAGACCACTTGGACCTGACGCAAAAACTTCATTCTAAATGTGCAGTATTCTACAAATAAAAAAGTCAAAGATAAACTTGGCACATTGTACAGTAGGATAACATTTAAGACAAACCTGGCCAATTCTTCATCGCGACGTTTCAACGCATCCAGGTCTTTTCTCATACATCGTCTGGAGCGTCCTAGGGAATCTGTGAAGTCAACCCTGCAAGAAAACATGACTTTCTTAAGAGTTTTACAGCACTTGCAACACAAATAGGTCATATCGGTGCCAAAGATAAGAAGTGTAACAATAGAGTAACATACAATGAAAAGATCAAGGAAACCAATAGAAGTATTAGAAGATAGATCATTAGATTGTTTGATATGAATCATGGAGCAAACCACACCAGTGCACCCCCCAACCACCCCAAAAAAGCTAAGTTGATTACGATTTGTCATATCAGGTATGTAGGGGAAGGATGGAGAAAGCGGGATGCATGTTGGTGTTAGTCAAAATTTTCCAATTGGTGACTTGAGTATCTTAGCACGACTTCTACCTGGCACCACATCATAACATCGTCTCTCCATTGGGTGGCAAGACTTGTAACGGGAACATAATTAAATGAATAGTAGGCACTGGGCACTTGATCAAAAACAGATTATGGAAAACGCATACAGCCTGCTGTAGAGCATCATGTGTGCTTATTATTAATAAATGTGATTATTGTTTTCATTAGGCTACCTATACCCTGTGCATTTCAAATTATGCCTAGTCAACCTCCCTGAGACTACAGTACTAGAAAAAGAACGATTAAGATGAGGAGCAAATAATACCAGTGGAAAAGAAAGGAGAAATCACTGATAAACTGGTAGTAGGTAATCTGTGCAATAAAAATGATCCCATTCGTTCATCTGTAGTACTGTCCCTGTGGTTTTATGCACCCCGCATAATTTAGCAAAATTTGATCATTTTTTAAATAATAATTTATTATTTTCCTTTATCATTCTTTGTTAAAATTAACAGAATCGCATAATTTCACATTTTTGGGCTCAGTTTGCATAATTTCATAATTTTTCTTGCATAAAACGAAGGGGAGAGGTAGTAACAGGCACTCATCCGATGATTTATTGGGAAAGCTCTATGATCCTTGTCTATAACAGGAACATCACACTGGTCCCGGTGGTCCTGTTATAGCCAGGGCCCACTACAATGACAATAGCTCGCATTTACTACAATAGGTAGCATATGGTCGCTTTTAAGTTTAAGGACAAGCGGGCTAACCCAGATTTTGGGGGTTTCCAGAAATCTTGACCTACACCAAAAGCGGGCTTTGCCCTACCTAAAGGAGAAGTTTGGTTTCATTGGTGTGTATATTTGATTGGTTACAGAGAAAACTCTCCTTGTTTTTTAATGAAATTTAGCAAGGGGCAAAAACTTTAACTTCGATTTTCTCAAAACAGCCTTTTTCGGGATAGCCCACTTGTCCTTAAAAGCGACCATATATATAATGGATTAACCTTGTGTGTAATCATTATCATCACAGATTAAGGACAAATACACCAGTATTAATATAGTTCGAAAAGGAAGAACAGTCTTTACATTAGAAAGTGATGGAAATCTAATTGAACACTATTTTATGGAAACCAAATTGAACACTATGTTACAAAAATAATGTTGCAGAAATGCAGTAAATATTGGGTTGACAAAATAATGGCCACGTTTAGTTAGGAGCAGACAAGGACAACAAGAACACTGAATATATTTGGTGAAGGTGCAGATGAAATTGAGGTGCAAGGAAAACATTAAAAATGATCAACACCCCCCTCTCCTGCCCACCCCCACCCAGGAAAAAATACAACAGCTCAGTCTGAGAAATGTTAGTGTCTTACCATTCCTCATCTGGAGTTGATGGGGGCGGTACAGCCTCATCCAGAGCTCTCCTCTCAGCCTCTTCTTCCTTCTCTTCCTCCCGCTGTCTCCTTCTCTCCCGGTCATCAACCAAAGCATCAATGGCTTTCTTTTGAAAGTCTACCAGGTAGTAGTCACTGCCATCTTCCTCTAGAAACAAAAAGGAAGCCTGTTCTTGTTTTGTTGAAGCCACTCAACTACAAACGGAATAAGTCATTTCAAGAAACGAGCACCTGCTTTCTTCAAAAAGGACAACAAATTGAGAATGAAAATTTAAAAAGGGAAGCAAATTTCAGGCACCAATGAGATGATTTATTGGTAAAGCTCTCCATAGACATTATACTATAAACAGATTAACTCATTGACGACGCAAGTTTTTCACCAAAAATTTTCCTGGAGACGCACGATTCTAACCTATTTTTTTTTTAATCAGTGTGATAAACCTATCAACTGTACAAGTATAAAAATTGATACAAAGTAAGATCATCATGTATACTTACATAAAATGTATTTATTTTTACAAAAACTTTGAAAAAATTATGTTTTAGGTGGAAAAAAAAAATTCTATGTAAATGTAGAAAAAAACTTTTTTTAATGAGCTAAGCACATGGATCTCAGAATTGATTGTAGTGAATTAGAATGGTTTCAAACAAGTAATACTAAGTGATATTATCTATAAGAATAGTGACATTGCCAGGAGCGTTGTAGTCTCCTGAATCAATAATCCCTAGCGCTTCGTTAGTTGAGAAAGGAGCTTCCAGCAGCTCTCTGTTTCATGTCTACGTAAAAAGTAGGTCAGGTCAACGTGTTTCGGCAGATTGCTTATAGCAGACAATTCGGGTGACCAATGGTCAAAGGGATACAACCACAATAAAGTTAAATGGTTTAACTAACACTGGGAGTCATTCCCCTTGAGATTCTATTAGTTTTTAGGTACCAAAAAAAATGGTACAAGTTGCCGGGTCCGGCGCGTCCCAGGACCCGGCGCGTCTTCAGAGTTTGTTGACCTCGCCAGGCCCCAGGACCTGGCACGTCGTCAATGAGTTAAGGAAAATAATTTTTTGCCAGTGAAAAGTATAACAGAACATAAAGAAACATAGTATAAACCCAAACTTAATTTTTATTTCATACTTTACCAGCCACTAGACAAATTCAGCTAAGGAGTGATCACATTCATCATCTCTCTTGAGCACTCACCCGGAATGTCCGAACTGGTTGTAATCCGCTGGTACAACTTGGCTTTCTGTTCAAGAATTCTCCTGCATTGGAAAGAAAACAATACGAAAAAAGAAAAATATTTAAAGTATAATCCGCTTATATCGACAAGCTTTGGGATGTGGATTTGGCGTCGATAAATGAAAATATAAAGCCAAAGAAGAAGAAACGAGGGGAGGTCAGCGGTAAAGGACAACACTACTTTTTTTTAAAGCTGGTCGCTTCCCTTGATTCTTCAAACCTACAAAAGGCAGAGGTGGGTTGGGGGATTGACGTTACGCAACCAAAGACCGAGCAGCGCAAGGCGCACACTACACACCAGCGCAAACTTTGTTATAGCATCCTTGTAAGGCCTGTTTATGGCCGCTTACTGACCGAGGCACATGCTAGCGACAGACAGAGAATGGGATAGGGAAGAGGAGTGAGTGATTGGGAGTGGGGATAGGGAGGTGATGCCCAGCGCGTGAGACACTTATGTCTGTGAGGCACTGTACTTTGTTGGAGACTACACTATGTAGGCCCTACATGACCTACTAAAGCCAGGAACCCAGGAAGCATGTCGATAAAGCAAAGTGGGCCGAAAAAAAGTCGATATAATAGAAATTGTATAGTGCAAATTGAAGGACAAATTTTGTCATTGGAAAATATGTCAATATATGTCAAAATATCGATAAATCGGACGTCGATATAAGTGGATTATACTGTACTAAGGTTTAATCAAAGACCCCAAAGTAGCACTATATAAAAAAACTGATGCCCTCCTTCCTTCCACTGTAAAGTAAAAATCCCATGACTTCCTTCATCACAGTTGAAATCTAGGAATGTGGCAAAAATATCATAACGGTACAAAACTTTTGTATTGTTGATTTCTTTTTATTGCATTCCAGAAAAGTGCTCAAATGATCAACTACCTTGAATCAAACTTAGTCTCAAATCATAGTACATTATACCATGGTTAGAGAGTACCCAACAGCTAAAGAAAGATAAACACTGCAAATAATAATAACAGAATGTCCATCAATGTCTGATAATGAGCTATACATCTGAAGAAGAGAATATTTCTTTAGAGAATTAGAAGAAATAAAAGGGTTAAGATGACTGGTGACTTCTGTCATCGCATGAGACCAATTCAGACAGACAAGAATTTGCCATATTTTGAGCATTTAAAAGCTTTATTTCCACTTGTGGCTGGGCACAGCTTTCCAGCTTCTCGTTTGGTCTCAACATTTTTAATTCATGAAGCCACATTTCATGACTTTCTGCTCCCTGTGACTGCTCCTCTCTATGAGGGTCTGTCCTGAGCTATACTCTCCCATGTCTAAGCATTAATATTTAAAACCTTCAGAGATATTTTCAGGGTTTCTTAGAAGCGCTTTTTTTGGTGCACCAACTTTACACTTCCCTGAAGACAGCTCAGAAAGGAAAACTGCCTTTCAGATTCTGTCATCAGGCATTCTCACAACATGGCCAGCCCACCAGTAAAGTTTTGCCTTTTTCAGCTTAGACTTTCGACATTTGCCCTCATGAAAACTCCGGTGTCTGACATTTTGTACTGCCATTTGATGCAAAGAGTTTTCCTGAGACATTTCAAATGGAAATAATTAAGCTTCTTGACATGGCTTTGGTATACTTGAGGTCTCAGCACCTTAAAACAGGGTTGGGAGGACAACAGCTTTGTAGACTTTCAACTTTGTCTTTGTGCAAAAGCCACAGCAGTCTCAAACCCTTGCTTCAGTATTCCGAATGATGCACTAGCTATATTCATACATATATAAAGCTATTTCTGCATCAATGTGGCCATTTGAAGACAGTGCAATGCCAAGACATTTGAAGGCTATCAACATGGTTCAGTATTGGGTTATGTGTTTTGATTTCAGGACGGAGGGTCTGCATATCACTCACTAGGCACAGGCTAGAAGAGAACTTCTGTTTGAGCAATACAATAAATACAGAAACATAATCTGACATCAATATTGATCGAGAACAGCTTTCTAGAAGAAACAGCTCACCTAGACTTAAGCAAGGCATCTTCCTCCTCTGCTGACTGCTTAACTTCATCTTTTGCAGCTCTTTCACTCACACCGTTATTCTTCTTACTCCATAAACTCTTTTTCTCCCCCTGTATGGTACATCATTTTAAAAAAACAGACATAAATCAGGTCAGCAGAATCAAAATGAAAAAAAAAAAAAAAAAGTAATACCACAGTAAAAAAAAAAAAAGAGATGAGAAAGAAAGTATCAATATGAACAACACTTGGCAACCATGTGCTGACAGAGACAACCAAGCTGTTCAAAAATAAATCAAATCATGGTTTATATCTTTCAAACATGAAAACTGAAGATCTGGCGGAGAAAACCACAAGTCTTCAGGGGCAAACTGACATTTTAAAAAAGTTACCCTGCTTTTTTCAGTTCAACACGTTTGCTTAAAGTAAGTTATTTCCTAATGAAAACATGTCAAGATGTGCCAGTTGTCATATAAAGGTACCAATGAAAAAGAAAAAAGTCTTCAATTTAACTTTCATGATTTTTACAAAGTAACTGAATTCAGTCTTTATTTAGCCTTATGTCGAGAAACATCTTTCTGTAACCCAAAACCATTCGTAGAAAAATATCAATACAACAATGTTATAATCTAAATGAAGGCCCCAGCATCAAATACCGATTCAATGTGAGATTTGAAAGCATGTATTGGTACTGAATCCTCATTCTACTGACGGTACAAAATTCTGACACACAAGTGACAATGACAAATATCATATATGCAAAGTCTATTGCTCCATTGCTATAAATGAAAAACTAAATGAATGAAGAAAAAATACAATTTACGCTGGTCAACAATCCCTTCACTGTCATGGTATTGGTAACACTTGACTTGTTCCATTTTCATGATCAACTTACTTTATCTGCTGTCTTGGCACGGACATAACCAGAGCTGACAGCCTTCTGGTTGCGAAACTCTTCTTGCTTACGGTAAAGTTCAGCCTTCAACTCCACCATCTGCATGAAACAACACAGAAGTTTAGTAGCTTTGCTGGCTCATAAGAAAAATAAAAAGAGTAAAAATCACTCAGTTACAATTAGAGCTTGATCATACTATAAATGACACTAAGGATGTTTATTTGCAACTGTGACAAGACAAGGTCTCAGATGGAATCCCCAAGAGAGGAGTAAAAGAGAAAAGCCAAGACTCATCTGGGAATAAGATCTGGAGGCAAGTCTCAGGAACAGAGACATTTGGAGAGGCCTCCTTGATAACCCATACCAAATACCAGGGTGGAAGAAGTAGATGGGATGAAGAGATGTTTATTTTCAACTTTAAAAACTGTGCCTCAGAAAACAGTAGCAGTGCCAACCATCTTGTTTAGTTTAGTTTTAGTTTTAGTAGAGGTTTTACGGCACTCGCAACTGCATAAGGTCATATGAGCACCAGAAGAATAGAGGTGTTACAAGAGAGTAACAAACATAAAAAAGAAGAAGGGGAGATAAGGACAATAGATGTTTGATAGAAAAGAAGAAGCAAACCACACCAGAGCACCCGCCAACCACCCACCCATCTTCAGTCCACACTGTTTCAGCAGGTGATGAAATTGGATATAAATCAAACTAAAACTCAAAGAAGAATACACAGAGCCTCATGAAAAGTAAAGAAGTACTTGTACTTTCATAACTACATCTTTCTCTTGAGTCTATCTCTGTCTTGCATGACACCTCTACATAATTATATTTGTGAATGTCCGTCACATTGGCCGCCTAAAACTTCCGAACCACTTAACTTTCGAATTTGACAAAATTAATGGTGGTACACAATCATTTAAAGGGTGCACAGTCAGTTTTATTGAGGAGTCTGAAGTCACTGTAGTTTGATTTTCAGTTTTTCATTAGTTTTGTATAGATCTATTCCTGGGAAAGTCCGACTTCTAAAACGCCATTGTAAACAAGTCAGGTGTCCGTTCACTAGCCGTGCGCACTGTTGTTTGGAGAGTATAAATCTAGACCTTCTAATTTTTTTCATCTCTCAAGATTTATTACTCCATTCCAGTCATCGTCATCATCATTGCCTTTCTCACCCTAGGTCAGGATATAGGCCACGAACAAACACTCTCCACCTTTCCCTATCCTGGGCTAGTCGTTTGATGTCACTCCACGTCCCCCCACTCTTCTGTACATCCATTTCTGTCACTCTTCTCCAGGTTCCACGAGGCCTTCCCCTTGATCTTTTACTCTGTGGGTTCCAATCTAACACTTTTCTTGTTATGCAGCTGCTGGACTTCCTGAGAGTGTGTCCAATCCATCACCAGCGTCTTCTTCCCACCTCATCTCTGACTGGGCTTTGTCTGGTTCTTCTTAATAATTCCTCATGGGTGATCCTGTCTGTCCATTTGATCCTTATGCTTCCTCAGAAACTTGTTTAAGAAAACCTGGATCCTCTTTATGCACGTATGGGATGCGTCCATTCCAGTATTAGAGTGTAAATACTATATAGTAGTAGGCCAATGACTTTCGGTCGATGTTAATGCATCGATCATTCCTTTCATCGAAAGGGGGCCCAGCTGGTATATAAATAACTAGCTGGGTACCTCGTTCGATGAACAGACTCTTAACTTTACTTTTCCTATCCAGGATGAATGGAATCAAAAGAATCGATCGTCAAGTCACTATGGGATTAGTGCGCACTGCATGTGAACGGAAGTCTCACTTGTTTTATAAATGCGTCTTAGAAGATGGACTTTCCCAAGATTAGATCTAAACGAAACTAAAGGAAAACTGAAAATTAAACTACAGAGACATCAGACTCCTTAATATAACTGTGCACCCTTTGAATAATTCTGAAACACCATTAATTTTTTTCAAATTCGAAAGTTAAGTGGTTGGGAAGTTTCAGGTGGCAAAATGACAAAATTCCATAAATATTGATGTTACAACTTTTTTAATGAATTTTTTTTTCCAATCCAAAGTCAGCCACTTCCACAAGGACAGAATTGTATTTAACACTCCAGTTTAGCTGGTGCATTGTCAGCAGTACTATTTTCCAAGAGCGCCAGCTGAACTGGCAAACGGCACTGCATATTTTCTGTTTAAGAGTCAAAAACAAAAGTATACAGAGCCCCAGAAAGCACTGCATGGAGCACTTGTTCCTGCTCAGTTTGGTGTTTATTTTATTCAATAGGCTAAAGAAGGGTAGAGTTACCAGTACAGGGAAATTTGGTATGGAAATATTAGGCCAGCTAAACATAAAATGACAACTCAATATTCGCTGTGTACAAACAATACATAGAATAGCCTATAAGTGTAAGTTGTATACCAAGAGTAAAAACGAAAAAAAAAAGTAAGACGCATCTTAATTGGCACAGAACCAGGATCTATAATCTTGGGTTAAAGGGCAACACAAAATTAATTCAGCACGGCAAAGCACAAATATCATGACTGCAACCACAATTCATTTATTTGACATTCTTTAATTATAATAAATTATCGGTTGAAGAGATACAATAAAATTCACCTGTTGTACCATAGATATATATAAAGAAAATTATTGACTTCAACAAAATTGCATTAGTGTAGAAGGAAAGGAAAAGTTCTCATCAGTGAACTAAGAAATAAAAAACAAAAATTTATTGGGTAGCAAAAACTTACAGATGCAGACACCATGCTACTTTTCTGTTCCGCCATATTCTGAAAGACAGAAATGATTTAATTTATACTTCATATTTTAAAATCCATCACTTTCTTCTTACATCTCTCAATATTAATGTTTACAGAATTTGATTAATAAATTAAATTAAACAGACACAAAAAAGCACTCAAAGAGGCAATTTTTCCACCAACATTTATATAAAAGCAAAAGAGAGGCAAAACAGATGACAAGAGCGCCGGCTTTTCTCAGTCATAAATGTAGTAGCCAAATGAGAAGTGGTAGAAAATCGTCCACGCTGAAATTGTACAGAATCTACACAAAACTGCGTTAGCAGACAACCCAAATCCATCGTGTTAATCAAACCTGCAAAGAGGAGGACGAGACTAAGGACCACGTATTCCTGAAAGGTCCTACCAACTATCTTGCCAATTTATGTCTGCTGGGACATTTCAGCGGCCCGTGTTCAGCACTTTTTAAAGACCCTCGAGCAAGTACTGAGTTCCTGCGGGCTGCAGTTATCGCTGACCACTAGATCTACTATAATGTATGACGACACAGTGCCAGAAAGGAGAGATCGCAAAGTATACAAAGAAAAATTAAATTTTGACATATATATATATATATATATGGGTCATGACGTGGTGGGATCAGGCGCACATCAATTTTTTGGCAACTGGGAGTTATAACTTGTTGGCATCATTTTAACCTCTTCGCTACCGCGCCCGTAGATTTTACGGGCCTGAACCGTGTAGCGCTGTGCCTATGGCCCGTAGAATTTACGGGACTGGGTAGGAGGTTGTTTTGATACCAATTATGTATAAGGTAAGTTACTGCTAAAATCTTGTAATTATTATTGAGGTACCTTCCCTTTATGTTTACCACCATTTTCCCCCCCGTTTGAAAGAGTCAGATTCAGATTTTAGCTCAAAGAGAAGATTAGATCTAGAACTAGATCTTAGAGATTACCACACAAAAATGATTTATTGGCAGTAAACACAAAAGGGCTTACATATGTACAAGCGTTGTATGAGGTAGGAAAAGTCTCTTGTCACTTCCTCTTTACCTGAAAACACTCACACAACATGTAATTCCCTCGTTTTTTTGCCTCAGTTTATCATTTTTACTCAAAAGTTGTTTCATGTTGTTTGATGATGTCATTTTAGGCATCATATAATCAACTCCAACTTTTCTCCTTCTATCTCTCAATCCCCCTAAAATCATATCAATAGAAACATGGTTCAAAGTTGAATATAGTATACGTGCAGAAATTCAAGAGGAAATATTCTTAAATAAAGTTAAGGGAGGTAGAGTGAAGTCACCTATGAGCCGCCTTGGTTCATGGGGTTTCCTTCGGCATAGGGGCCTATTTACCTGCGGCATTGAAGGGGTTTTAATGCCTGTTTAATTTTCTGTTTTTACAGAAAATCTTGCATTATAATAGAAGTCGAGACATTTGAAACTGAAGGAGGTAGGGGTCCCCTGGTGTCAAAAATTAAAATTAGTAAGATAATTAGCAGCAAAAGTTTGGTGACTTCAAGAGTTTGAGTGTCCTTGAAAACGTCTGTTGTGCCTTTCATCAACATTTTCAGTAAAATTAAAATCCACAAAAAATGTAAAGGAGGAATTCCGTTACGAGTGACCACTATGACTATGAAACAGAGTAGAATAGAGGGTTTGGGTTACCGTTTGGGGTAGGGCTAGGGGTAGGAGTAAGGGTAGGGGTTGGGTCAGGGTTAGGTCTCTTCTTTACTTGCATAAAAGTGTTTGTTGGGGTGGTCGCTTGTTACAGAAGCCTTTCCAAAATTTTCATGCTTTTAAAAGGACATAAAAGTTAATGTTGTGAGCCATTTAAAAAAAATTATCTTTATAAAAAAGGACACACATCTATTCTCACCCGGGCCCTGGTGAGAAAGCTCATGACCTGATATTCTCACCCCCACCCCGGAGTGGGCATGAGGTGAGGGCTAACCCCAGACCTCTTGCAGGCTGATAAAATCACCATTAAATAAACAAAACCAGATTGAAACTTATCTACGTCTGAGCAACTCATTCTCTGAGCTGTTCTGTTTGTGTCGGTGCTATTGTCCTACTGTCAGTAAAGCCTAGCACACGTACAACGGGAAACTGCACCCAGACAAATCCTGAGCACTGTGGTGTACACTGAATAACTATGCATTACACGATGACATGCCAAGTATCTCGATTGGAGGCAAAGTGCTGAATAGGGAACCCACATTGAAGCACTTGGGCATAACGTTTGATCGCTCCCTCTCTGGCAAAGATCACATCATGAGAACAATCTCCAGGGCGAGAAAAGGCCTAACAGCCCTTAAGATGATGGCCAGAGCTAAGATGAGCCAGAAAATCCTTGTCATCCTTTACCAGACACTGGTACTCTCTGTCGTAGAGTACGGGCTCGGACTCTTGACCCTATCAAAGGTGCAAATGCAACGACTCGAGGTGTTACTACAAAATGAAGGAATGAGGGCAATCCTGGGGTGCACACAAGATACCTCAACTGAAGCAATGAGATACTTCCTAGACTTCCCATGTGCAGATGAGAGGCACAAACTGGCACAAGTCCAAGCCTTTCTGCGAGTCAGCGCAGATGAGACGAACCCTCTACATAAGAAAATGGGACGGCAGATGACATCAAGGCTAAAGAGGGGCACAGAATGGATGACTCAAGCCACGAACACCATCAACGAGTGCTGCCAGATACAAGACATTAGGAGAGGCAGGGATTGGGTTGTGGCCGAAGATGCGCTCGGAGAGTACACAACAGTGAAGGCAACATTGGGTAGAGAATGTCGCAACTGGCCACTTGGAGCTACTAACGCTGAAATTGAAACCCTGATAGAAGAGCATAGCGAACATGGAGATGCTATGATCTTCACAGATGGATCAGTCAACAGAGGAGTCAAAAATCGGGCTGGGCATTCAGTGTCAGAGTTGATGGGGTAGTAGTGAAAGAGCAAAGTGGAGCAACTGCACTGACAACATCAAGTATGTGTATATGGAGATAAAAGCCATAAGTGAAGCTCTACACTAGAAAGAACACAAGCCATCAGCGAGCAGTAATCATTACTGACTCAATGAGCACACTACAGAAGGTATAGAAAGGGATGCTGTATGTGGACTGGAAGGGTACGATCAGGGAGAGCAGCCTAGAAAGAGTGGCCTGGATCTTCTGCCCGGGTCACGAGGGGGTTTTGGCAACGAGAGAGCAGACAAAAGCTGGCTGGAGAAGCAAAAGTGGGGGGGGGGGGGGGAATTTGACACTGGACCCACCAACCGTCCTAACCACTGTAAGGGAAAATTTGAGGAAGAATAGGGCGGATAGCGGTTCCCACACTCTAGGTAGATTGAAGGAGAAGGAGATCCAAAGAGGAGAGGGGAAACACAGCCATCTGTGCCGACCAGTCCGACGGATCTCCAACCAGATTATGACGGAGACTATAAGTAGACAGACTCTGGGATGGATCCTGAAAAGGGGGGGAGAGCAGAGATGGACATGTTGCGACTACAGTGACCCCAACACAGTGAACAAGTAACAAAAGTAAAAGAAAACTTAGAATATAGAAAGAATGACGGGCATCCTGTCAACTTCTCTGTAAAACTGAGTGTGGAAACAAGCAATCCTCTCGATATTGAAGGGTTCTCAGTCCAGCCACCAGATATATCTGGCGAAGCTAGATATAGATCTAGTCTATATATATATATATACATTTTCCGGCAGGCGAACCGAAGGAGGCATGATGACGAGGGAGCGGCTGCTTTGATGTTGCCCAAGGTGGGGTTGAAAATGCAGTCCAAAAATTTCCTTAATAGGCCTATTGGACAAATTTAAAAAATACGGTAAGATTTTCGTGGTCAGGGACCCAAAATTAGTCTAAATAACGTGGGGAACACAATTTAATGCCGGATTACCAAGTTAATTTTTTGGGGTGATTTGTGTGTTTTGTCAAGGACTGACACTTCAAGGATAAAATAAAAACTGTCTAGACTCTAGATTCTAGATATCTAAATAGAACTTCTCTCATCGACAAACTTTCAGTTCAACGATGACCCAGATCTAGAAAATGATCACGATCAATCATCAACAATGACAAATTGTAAATAACAATCACAACATCCAACCTATTCAATTATTCATCGAACAAACAATGACAATTGACAATTGAATATTAAATTATCAAAATTATGTGGCAATTTCGTTATTCCTAGATTCTGATCTCTAAAGATAACGTGACATGGCACGCTTCAAATGGCCACCTCTATTCTCACCCGGAGTGAGAATAGTGCAGGCAAGTCTTGTGGCTATTTTCACCCGGTGCGCGTTCACCAAATTTTGCGTTCACCCTAAACCACAGAATTCTACACTGTGATAACAGAAAAAGTGTAATTTATTATGTGCCGTGAACAAACGTTCCATTACAACTGTAGCCTACTAAAAGCGTACAATTTTGTCTGTGGACAGTGGAGAGAGAGAGAGAGAGAGAGAGAGGAGTAGCGCGAGAATTTCCGGGCAAAACAAAATGGCGACCCGCGTAGTTCGGCTCGATTCGAAAAGTTAAATAGCCGTAGCATCTTTGTAGACAACCAAATTAATTTACTTTTGTGTTTTAACATCATTTTTAAACTTTGTTTTGGTCAATTTGATCGTCCACACCGATAGACAGTATTCAGAAAGAGACAGAGAGAGAGAGAAGAGAGGAGGAGTTGATCTTGCGAGAACTTCCGGCGGGTGAGAATAGCCACTTTCGCTTCAAATACAGCCAGGGGCAGGGCGATTGTCAAGATTTCCGCGTTTAATTCCGATGTGCGTTTTTCATAGCCTCAGGTTAGTATGTTTCGCTTTGGTCCCTAACCCTAACCCTAACCCTGGTCAGGGTTAGGGTTAGGGTTAGGGTTAGGGTCAGAGTAAGGGTTAGGGTCAGGGTTAGGGTTAGAAGGGTTAGGGACCAAAGCCAACAAAGCCGTCAAAGCGAAACATACCTGAGGCTATGAAAAACGCACATCGGAATTAAACGCGGAAATCTTGACAATCGCCTACAGCCAGTCGTAACATCAGTTGTGGTACCAAACATTCGGTGGTATCATCGAAGAAATTGAACTGTTGAGTCTGTTGTCCTTTTACTGTCAGTCGTTTTGACTGTTGAATGTTGCTTCAGAACAAGAACAACACTTTAGATCTACTTTCGATTTCAAAGCTTCCGGCTTCCGGCCTCTGGCTTCCGCTTCGGATAACCAGAGACCAAGCAGCAATGTAAACAAAACGATTCAAAACGGTAACCGAGGAGACAAACTGGTGGTCGGCAGAGCAATAGCTCTGACACACGTGATGAATTGTTTTCATTGTCCATAGGCATGTCATCTTTCAGAGGATTGCACTGGGAAATAAAGGAAAATTATTAACTTAATAGGTTTCGATTTTTTTGAAAAAAAAAAGATCCTGTTTGTTGTGTCCAGTGTTCGCTTGTTGTTTTTTGTTGTTGTTGTTGTTGTTGTTGTTGTTTTGGGTTTATTTTAGTAAGAGTTTTACGGCGCTCGCAACTGCATAAGAATGTCATATTACAGTGGAAACCATATATTAACAGGCCCGGTAATAACAGGGATCCGGTAATAACAGGGATGTTTTAAATCCCCGTTTTTTCCTACTCTTTGTCTCTATTAAAAGTTATCGGCAATAACAGGGTCCCATCGGAGCCCAACCGGTCATAGCAGGGACAAAGGCTCGTTAACATTGTGTTAAAAGTAAGAGAGAGAGAGAGAGAGAGAGAGAGAGAGAGAGAGGACGACCGGTCGGACTAGATCTAAGCCTACTTCTTTCATTATGTCACCAACGATGTCAAGCGCAAGAGAAAATGCCTTTCAATTGACAAAAAATACGAAATAATCCAGACTGTTGACAAAAAGCAAGCTCCACTGGCAGCGATTTGTCGTCAGTTTGACATTCGGCAAGGGTCGATTCACACCATTATCAAGGATAGAGAGAAGATAGTGGCAGCATACTCCAATGGAAAGTTTGCTCTGGATCGAAAGAAGATGAGACTACCGGTACCCGATGCAGATGCTGTGGACCAAGCTCTTCTGTTGTGGTTTAAGGACACAAGGAGAAAGTTGGTGTCAAAACCCCTGTTCGTGGGTACTTGTGGCTAGGGAAACTACCCATGAATAAGTACAGCAAGATTAGTCCACAATAAATGCTCACTTTCCTTGCATTTCGGATTTAACAGGGACCGGATATAACAGGACTTTTTCTCTACTCCCACCATCCCTGTTATATCAGGTTTCCACTGTATGAGGCTATGGGCGCTCGAAAAAAAGGTGGTTTCGTTCCAAGGAGCTTAGAACTAGATCTACTTTTAATCTCCTTGTTTCGTTCGCAACAGTTCAATGCACAGCCTGATTCTGGTCAACACCTCTACTAAAACGTTAAAATGCTAAACATTTGATGTAAATAAATTCAAAGCAAATAATATATCAACAAAAACCGAAAGAGGCCTTTTTCGTCCTCTAACTTCACGAAAGCTATTTCAAAAGACTAGATCTGGATCTAATAAACAAGTTTATAGGCCTATTTAAAGCTCTGATTTGGTTTCTAGACCAATTTAAGGCTCTTGGTGGACACCTTTTTTCGCCATTAAATATCAAAATAGAGCGTTCAAATGGGAAAAAAATTACAATTTATTAATTCGACATAGATCTAGATTTAGTAAAATCAAACTCAACATAGAAAGTTCAAACGTCAAAATAGAGAGAGCAAATTCACTAAGAAGCTCAAATATCTGAAAATAAGGGTAGATCTAACGCTACCAATTGTAACATATTAAAGAGTCCAAATTCAATATTGTCAGTACATTTTCAACATTTGTCAGTTCATATTCAACACACATATTATTATTGTTTTAAACACAATAGGTTGTTTGGCATGGTCTCCCCCCCC